AAAAATTCAATTCATTAATTGTCTATCGAAATGATAATAATCACTCGTTTTTGTTGTATGTGTTGAGTGTTTATATATAATAATTGTATACATAATAGTAATTAATTGTTAATATAAAACACAGTATGTATATCGCAAAAAATCGCTATATAATTATATATATAATAATTTATCGCTTTTTATTAAATTAAAAGTCATTTTTGTTGTAAATGTTTGTTGTGTTGAATAAGTTTTGCATTTCGTAGTCACCGGTCAAATAAGTCTCACAAATAAGTTATAATTGAGTGTAAAACACAAATCCAAACCAAACGCCAATACAATCAACTCGTCGTGAAATGCATAATCCGTTTCCCAAATCCAACTCAATATTACAATCCAAATGAAAAACACTTTTCGCATCCCTTTCCCCTCTATAAATCACTCGGAATCGCACATTAATCGCACAATTCTTCATCGAAAATCATAATCATAATAAAATCAAAAAACAACAGAATATTCTTCAAGTCGCGTGTGAGTTGACTACCCGTCTCATCCGGTAATGATAATTACAATCCATGTATTAAACGGCCATTAAATTAGAAAATAATTAATATATTCTTCGCATCAATTTCTACAATCAATGGCTTCCGACACACACACAATCACATCCCTGTCCCCCACACACCCATCGCACCGACACATCACTTGGCAGTGGCCGCGATTGGGGTCGCCTTTTGTTCGTCGGCTGCCGGAGCCTTCGTGAGCGCCGTATTGTCGTCGTTGTGGTCACTGTCGGTCACCTCTTCGGCCGTCTCCTCCACCAGTTTATCGCAATCAATGTCTTTGCGCTCTAAGCCCACGGGTCGGAGCACTAGAAACGATAGGATGTCCGACAGCNCCGTATTGTCGTCGTTGTGGTCACTGTCGGTCACCTCTTCGGCCGTCTCCTCCACCAGTTTATCGCAATCAATGTCTTTGCGCTCTAAGCCCACGGGTCGGAGCACTAGAAACGATAGGATGTCCGACAGCGATATGATTCCGATCACGTGGTCCTCGCTGTCCACCACCACTATCCTGTGGACCTACAGGTGCCCCAAATGGAAATGGTATTAAATGTTTGATAGTTTTCGGTATGTTTAATGCAATGACAATTGTGTTGACGAGTGCTGGTTGATGGGAACGGTAGCTTAGATTTTGATAGTGATTTACAGGTAATTATTTTATATGTACAGTATGTTAAAAATAGTTAAATAAATAAAAATAAGGGAAAGGGTGGTCAGTATGTAGGCTATGATTAAAATAACAAATAACACAAAAATTGTAAAAACTATCTAGTTAAATAAATAAACTAACAAATAATGTATTTAAATACAGCCCTATCCCTATTAGATAACTCTCAAGGAACACTATAAAGTAGTATAAACATGTTTGACCAGGGTACTGTGCACAATAGTCACTGTAATGTTGTGTGAATGGTGGTGTACCTCAGCCTGGACAATCTTCTCGAGAATCTGGTGCAGTGTGTCATTCATTGTGCATTTGATAACCCGTTCCGATTGGTCTCTATGCTCCAGTGCCTTCTTCACTGTAATGTCCAGATTATTGTACGTCTTATCAGCGGCTAAATGCTGGACAGGGAGGTAACAAAACACAGGTAGTAGTTATTAATTCAATTAAACATAGCTTGTTAAAATTAGAAGTAATAATACAATACACAAATTGTATTACACATAATGTGTAAAAATTAAGTTTTTGAAAATTTAAAACTAAAACCAATGAATGTCTTAAGGAGTAGTACGGTAATAGGTATTCATTAAATTATTTAGACATACCGGCGCTATAACACGCTATAATATAAACACTCACTAATTAGGAGACCATGAAAGCCCTTTAACCTATGATTTCATGTGTTTGCCGTTAATTCAGGGCATATTTTATACAGTATTTCAATTGAGTTTTGTCTCATTGTATGCCATCAAATCTTTGATTTATTCGTTTCATGACTACACCATTTCCAATGGCAATCAATTACTGTATAATAATGAGCAAGTACAGGAAATACTAAGCTACTCGATGGTTGTGCAAAATTTAATTAAAACACTACTAATTATATGAATTTATGAAAATTTAGTGTATTTGTAAAATTAATTTAAATTCTAACTTTAATATTATAGTAGTTTCAAGATCTCTCTCTCTCTCTCTCTCTCTCTAATAAAATAAAATACTTTACAAAAAACAATAATTTCATTGCAAAATCACTACAAATTATATCTAATACTACATAAAATTGAAAAAACTTAGCGTGTACCTAAACAAAAAAAAACTAAAAATCAAATCAAAAATGGCATTAAAACTCAATTCAATAGATATATAAAAATTGAATGCCTCATAAAAAAACAAAACCCAAACAAAACTAAAACCTAATGACAAACCCCTTTACACACGATAATCACCGATACATACAATGACATCAAACTTTGCATAGACGTCGACCACTTTGGACCGTTTGTCGACGACGGGCAGTGCCGACACCCGGCGCTCAATGAACTGTTGGAGCACCAGAATGAGTGGGGTGTTGGTGGTGGTGACCGCGATGTTCTCGTACGTCCCGATCATCAGCTCTTTGAGCTGCTTATTCAGATAGGATGGCATTGGAAGTCGGTTGTAGTACTGGTGCCCAGCGATCATCGAGTGGTTGATATACAGGGAAAAGTAAATACATAATTAATTTTAAGACTTTTTTGTTTTGTTACCAGATTTTTATAATCAAAGTTGCGATCAAAACTTATTTTTCGTAAATCATTTGTGAGTACTGTATAAATTTGTTTTAATAACTAATTTATAAAATAATATTTTGTTATTTGTTTTTGTGATAGCTATCAATGATATATCAAATTAATTAGTGTCGATTTGAATAGTCTATACTAACATTTTAATGAATTATTATTTTATATTAAAGTGTGTGTCCTTTAAAAACATGTATAAAAATAAAAATCATTGCTTTAAATGGCAGCCAACAAAAAAATGTTAAGCCATTAAATATAACATTTACTGTAATTGTATTGACATTTCGGATAACGAAACGCATATTAAATGACTTTTTTGGCTAAAAATAAATAACATTTGTGCTGGTAACTTAAATACAAAAATAAATAACTCACAGAATCGCTATGAAATACTATCTATAAACTAAATCCCTACGAAATTCTGTGTGTAATTCATGAACTACACGCTAAACCTACTTATATACAAATCGTATGAAATTCTGTATGAGTTATACCGACAATACATTTATGTGTATAAGTTTTGGTCGGAAAATTGTTTTCATAATTTCATAAATTAATTAAAATGCCAATAAATATCATACATAAAGGAACAGGTATTTAAGAATTCGTTTGTGGGTCAGTATGTATAATACATTTCCCGTCTCGGGGTCGATGACTGGAAGTCGGTGTACTTTCTTATGGATTAACAATTTGATTGCGTTGAATAGGCTGTCCATTGGGTAGTGGTTAATAATAGACACCAATTAGTTAATCAATAGATGGGTTGTACAGTAGTTTATGGCTATGAATATATATACAGACCTCTCGTCCGGACCGATACTGACTAGTGGTTGGGCTTCTTCTTTGAGGACATCTATAGGTGAATGAGATTTAAATATAAGATATGTTTTTGTAGTGAAAAATAATTTTTTCGTTCAATAGTTGAGGAAATTTTGGGTAATTTTTAGGCAACTTTGGGTTTAAGTTAATTATTTGCATATAAATGTGTGCATATATTTTTGTTAACGTGTTGTTTACATAAGTAATAATAATTTCTATTTTACTGTACTCTATATTTGCCAACTAATTGACATCAGAAAAGTTAATATTGAAATCTGTATGAAAATTAAAACAAAAAACAGGATTTGATTTGTCATCGAAAATGAATACTTGAAATGAATTCACGAGAAATTTTTATGGCATAGTAACCAATTGTATACAAATTGACTAAACATATGAATTTATACGTTTAGTATACCGTACTTATAATAAATCAAATAAACCGTAAAACATCTAATTATTGGTATACGAGTGGAAAAACACCTAGCATTATAACCAATTGTATTATTATTATAGCAATTCATTAATATATTGCTAAAATTATTGCAAAACCTAAAACTAATTATTAATAAAAATTAATTATAGCGTGAGTTGTGTCTGTATATCAATATTAAAGACATTCATATCGTGTGTATGAAAGGCTTCGCAAACACATCGCCTATTGAATCGAGTTTTGATTGGAAATATATATTAAGACTTAAGACAAGTGTATATAACTTATATATGTGTGGAAAATATATATAACAATATTCAGGGCTCAAGTACTTTATTTACGGAGTCGAGAGCTCCTACAACCACCACCACGGGGCTGGTAGTCTACGAGTGTAGTGTTGTTTGGTGTGCAATGATTGGGAAATA